ATGGAAAAAATCATGGTCTGCCTTATAGATTTGCTGTGAAGGCAAAGGACAAAACTCTATCCACATATGTCTCATTGTGTTCTATAGGGTTTCTACACTCTGGTGAGTGTATTTAGGATTGCACTTGACATCCAATATAAATGACAGGCAGCCCTGGATCTTCCCATGTAACCACATGAGGTGCTGAGGTGGTAAAATGGGCAGTATAACAGACTATGAGTAGGGGAAGCACAGTTCTGAATGCTGCTCCACATTAAAAACACATTGCAGATAGTAAAGTTGACAAAGAACTAGAATATAACCTCCCACTATGTTTGCAGAGAGCTTCTTTTATGTGAAGAAATATTCAAAAGCAAAGCATAGGAAGCTGACTCCTCCTGAGTCCGGCAATTGTTTGTCTAGCTTAATGTTGTCTAAAATAGGGGTGGGAAGCCTTTTCCCTACCATTGACCCATAGGAAAAGTCGATTTGGAGCTGCAGCTGATAGCTGGTCAAGCCAAAGTGGGCCGTGTTTGCTGCACTGCAAGACTGCAGAATCCCCTCTCCACAACAGACAGTCTTTCTCTCTCTGCCATCTCTCAAATAGAATTAGGTTGTGAGCCTTGGGTTCCTCATTCCAGCTCTAAACTGTTTGACAATGGCTCAAGGGGTTGCAGGTCGGAGTTGTTCCCAGCCTTATCAAGGATTGACCCACCAGGGGCTTTTTGCATGCCATGTATGTGCAACAGTTACTGAATGAGAAGGCCTGAACCCATGCAGAAGACCACTGGTTCAGTCCTCAGCATCTCCAGGTGAAGCTTGGGAAAACTTTGTTCTGCAACCTTGGTGAGCTGCTGCCAGCCAGGCCAGAGGAAGACAGTCCTGAGCTACCTGGACCAGTGAAGTTGCTCCATATAAGGCACCTTTCTATAGCTTGGCTTAGATGTTCCGTTAGGCAAATGGCCAGGCACTTCCTTACATATTCACCTCTGGTGACTGAACACTCAGTGGCCATAGAGGTGCATATTTCTACCAAGCCCCACATTTCCACAGCTGTATATGTGGAAGATTCACACAATCTTTCCTCCTAAGGAAAACAAGGTAGTGGGAAGATGGTGTAGATGCAGCAGCTTCTCTCCACCCAGGACTTTCTCCCACTTTCTCTGGTAGGAACATCTGAGCATCTAGAGCATCTCCACTACCTGCTTGAAGCTCTATGACATTGATGCCGAAATCCAGCATCACCTGAGCTCTGCAAGTGCAGCTTTCTCCCGATTGAAGTGCAGAGTGTTTGAGGTCCAGGACATTCGCAGGGAAGCAAAAATGCTTGTTTGCAAAGCTATTGTACTATCAACTTTACTGTATGCTTGTGAAACATGGACCACTTATAAATGCCATCTCCAGCTCCTTGAAAGATTCCATCAACAGTGCCTCTGGAAAAAAATACATATGACTTGGAAAGACAGGTGAACTAATGTCAGTGTACTGGAAGAAACAAAGATCACCAGTGTCAAAGCAATGATTTTTCAACATCAACTTCATTGGACTGGTCATGTCATTCAGATGCCTGATTATCGTCTTCCAAAGCAACTACTCTATTCCCAATTTAAGAATGGAAAGTGTAATCCCGGTGAACAACAAAAGAGGTTTAAAGTCACTCTCAAGGCATATATTCAAAACTCTAGTATAAACACCGAAAACTGGGAATCACTGGCCTGCGAGCGCTCTGATTGGAGAACAGCCTTTACCAAAGATGTTGTGGACTTTGAAGAAGTACAAAGTCAGGATGAAAGGGAGAAACATGCTCAGAGGAAGGCATGTTTGGCAAATCCTCACCATAATTAACTCCCGCACAGAAACTTATGTCCCCACTGTTGAAGGACGTGTGGATCCAGAATTGGCCTCCAAAGCCACTTGCAGACACACTGTTAAGACCATGTTTATGGAAGACAATCTTACTTGGCTACCAGTGATTGCCAAAGAAGACTACTCCTCACTTGGAGAGACCTCGTCTGTATCTGGCCGCTGAAGGTGTGGACAGGCTCCTCTAGAAAGTCTTTGGGGAGATTATCTGTGGGTCCTGATCAGTTCTGTGATGCATCAGCCTTCAAGAGAGGGACCTGCCATTCTGGAGCAGCTCTTCGGCTGGGGTCTCAACCACAGGCTATTCCTCGGAGGGTTTGGCGAGAGAGAAAGAGAGAAGAGAAGCAAGTCCCATGTGCAGATTTTAATCTAATCACTTCCCTGTCAAACTAATCCCTGCCTGACTCGGATAGGACTTAAGAAACGTGCCTGGAAACCCAAAAGCAAATCTCATTTGAATGAAGCACACACTCCGCAGCCCCCATCTGCAAAGAGCCGCAATTAAAGGCGAAAAGAGAGAGAGAAATTAGCATTTTCCGCGGCCATCTGGCATGAGGAGCAGGCGAGGGGGAACAAAAGGGGCTGGAGGCGGAGGGGAGAGGCGAGTGTGCCACGGCATTGACCTGCAAATGAGCCTTTGTCAGCGAATTAAAGCTTCCCGGACCCCCCGGGACACCCCAAAACAGGCACCATTACAAACCATCCGGACAAAAAACCACTCATCAAAACTGTCTGAGATGGGGATGGAGCTGGGCGGGGGGGGGGGTCGGCCGGCCGGCGGAGGAAATGGAGGGAGAGCAGGCCGGGATGAAATAGGCGCCCGAGACAGCGCACCACACCTCCGTAATAGGCGGCTAATAGCCGGGAGAGATGCGAGGAGGAGATGCAGCTTCTGCAGGGAACGTGCAGCGAGCGACAGCCTGAAGGCTTTGGGACCATCACCCGCCAAACCACTCGGGATTTGCGGTTCGAAAGCGGGAGATTTCATGGTGCAGATTTACCGCGACTGTCACCATCACCCCAGTTCTCCTGCGGAGATCAAGAGCAGGGAGTTAGTGGCCTGCTAGATCCCGTCCCTTTCCCTGATGCTGCTCCTTCGGCTCCTGCCCTGATATTGCACAGAATCATCGAGCCGTTGAGTTGGAAGGGACCTCGAGGGTCATCTAGTCCAGCCCCCTGCAATGCAGGAATCTCAGCTAAAGCATCCATGACAGGTGGCTCTGCTTAGAAACCTCCAAGGAAGGAGAGTCCAGAACCTTTCAAGAGAGTCCATTGCACTGTCCAACAGCTCTTGCCGTCAGAAAGTTCTTCCTGATGTTTAGTCAGAATCTCCTTCCTTGAATAGCTCCACTGAGTCTCCTCTTTACCAGGCTGAGGATACCCAACTCCTTCAACCGTTCCTCATAAGGCTTGGTTTCCAGACCCTCCTCTGCACATGGTTCCAGCTTCTGGTGGGGCTCTCTTGGATCTGTTTCTTTTCACAAGAACAGGATCTGCAGGAGGAAAACAAGCAGCCCCCCAAAGGACCATCTTGAAAGAGCAAAAAGTTTTCCAGGGTCTGAGAGAAATCTAAAACGAACTGGTTGGCTGGCTGGCATCCAGGTGTCTTGGGAGACAATAGAAAAATGCTCCTGGTGTGTGTGTGTGTGTGTGTGTGTGTGTGTGTGTGTGTTAAGTCAAACCGCTGGAGAGTTACAATGCCTGCTCTGGCTGTAGAGACAGATACAACTGGAACAATAAGAAAATCGGGTTTCCTGGACCGTTTTAATTGCCACCTCTTTCATTGTTAAAGTTAATACAGATTGTGCCAAAGTGAAAGCCAGTCCGCACCTACTTCAATTATCCCCCCTTCCTGTAACACAGACCACCCCTAAACAGATTGACTTGGAAACTAGTTAGACCCATAAGTTTCAACAATATCCGCCCTCCCTTCCCCACAGGTGGGCAGGGTTTGCGGCACCAAGCGAGGCTCACCTGGGCAGGTGCCACCCACCTGCCTGAGCTGGCCTTTGACCCGCCCCCGGCCAGGGAGGACAATGGACAGCCGGCCAGGGGTGGGCTTAAGGCCAAAGGAAAAGAGGCTGACTCCTGGGCTCAAGCGTCTTTTGCTGCTCTTCCTTCTGGGATCAAGATCAGGAGTGTATCCAGGCGGCCGGACTGAGATGGAGCGTTTCCGCGAACTGGCACCAGGAGCAGCCCAGTCCCCAGATGCCTTCCCAGACGATCTGTGGGAGATTGGAAGCGAGAAGTAAACCAGGGAGTATTGGCAGCAATAGCACCCTCCACTAGACGTTCTTATTCCAGGGCCTGGGATGCCTTTGGGCGCTTTCGTGGCTCTGCAACAAGGCGCGCATCCGAGGAGGAGGTGCTTCAGTTCTTGGTGCTCCTAAAGCGCAAGGGCCTTGCCATAAAAACTTTAATGCTTTACAGGGCAGCTATTTCTTTCTTTTGTAAATTCCGTCACTGGCCAGACCCCTGTGACAGCTTCCATGTCAAGAAGTTACTGGCTGGGTGGCGGCGTGTCATTCCCCCATGTCAGGATGGCAGGAAGCCTATCACCATAGACATACTTTATCTAATTTGGAAAAAACTACCAGAGATCTGCTGGTCAAATTTCGAAACGCGTCTCTTTCGGGCAGCATTTTCCCTGGCCTTTTTTGGTGCCATGCGCATTGGGGAGTGTTTGGCTGGGCCCCTGCAATCAGGGTTGGCAGACAACGACATCAAGTTTTCTGGGCATACGTTGAATGTTAAGATTCGGTCATCAAAAACTGACCAGTTGCGAAAAGGGGTCACGCTCACATTGTCCCCAACGGAACACGCGGGCCCCTGCCCATATCGCGACACACGCCGCTTCTTCAGGGTCCGGCCCCAGTGCAAGGGCCCTTTCTTCATTCACTCAAACACGCGCCCGTTGACGCGATCACAATTCACAGCGGTTTTATGCAAAGCCTTATCTGCTTGCGGTGTTAGTCCCCAGGAATATTCCGGGCACTCGTTCCGTATCGGGGCTGCTACTTCAGCGGCAATACAGGGTTGGGACCCCGCACACATCAAGACACTGGGGCGCTGGCGCTTGACAGCCTACAAAAGTTACATTCGTCCTGGCTCCTCCTCCTTATCACTTGCAATTTAATTGTCTTACAGGTTTGCCCACCATGAAGACCTGGGTGATAGGCCACAGCATTGTCCATTGGGCAGCGGATTATGCACGGTCTCAAAATTGTGGCCATAACCTTAACATCCACCCCAAGGTACGCTTTTATTGGTTGGCCCAGCGGGGCATGCATTGGCAGAGCTTGATGCCCATGCTGCGTAGTGCCGCAGCGACCAATGGCCCTCCAAGGGTCTTGATTATACATGCGGGGGAGAACGATCTAGTGGAGCAAAAAGGCATTGCCCTTGTCCTTGCTGCAAGGGCAGATCTAAAAAGCCTGCATGCCTTGTACCCATCAATGACCATCGGCTGGTCCAATCTCCTACCCCGTCTTCACTGGAGGGGGGCTTCCAATCCCTCTCACCTCAATTACACGGTGAGTAAAATTAACAGGGCCATGTGCAACACCATGCACCAAATTGGTGGGTTCTCTATCCCATATCCCACCATCACATCAGATGGAGTTGACCTATTCCGGGGGGACGGGGTGCACCTGACCCCACTGGGCAATGACTTCTGGCTCCATGACTTGCGACAAGCCCTTGGGGACCGGATAGATTGCGGGGTTTAATTGGTCCTCGGTTGTGGGACTTGGCGGCGAGGCCCCTTGGGGCCTCGAGTGGCGGTTTTAGGCCTTGGCAAGGTAGCCTTTAGTCTAACATCAAGTTGGGGGGGATGCATTCATGCTCCCTCCCCATGCGGCGGCGCTTGCAGGGCCCGTTAAAGGGCAAAAACCGGGAGTCCCTGGCCCTAGAGCGGCGGCATGTAGGTCAAACTCCCCGGACGAGGTCAGTGGAAGGGCATGCTGTGTAAGTTTGCGCTTTGCAGTCCCCTCTCACTGGGCCTCAACTGCCTGCATATCCTCAGCCAGGCGGGCTGAGAGGGTTACCTGCCAAGGCCTGTGCCAAGTTTCCCACTTCTGAAGTTCAATAAAGTTGTGGCCAATTTGAACCCATACTCTGGTCTCTTGTGTCATCATTTGGGAAAAGGGGGTAGGCACCACAGACAGGGTTTAGCGCGTGTGCCCGCAACTGCTTCCCAACAAACCTGCAGTCCAAGCCTGTGCCTGCTTATTTGGGAACAAGTCCCGGCAAATTCATTGGGACTCTTGGATGCTGTCACACCACACTGCCAGGCTTCCATGGCTCTAGCAACCCAGTAAGTGCCCTCTTTAAAGAAGGGTCTTCAGAGTAGATTGTGAAATCTTTTTTCCTGGAGTGGGAAGATAACAGACTGGTCTGGAAAGTCCCATCCTGGAAGAATCCATTTTAATGGGGGCACTGCCAACTTTTCCCCAACTACTGCTTCCTTAAAAGGCCAGAAATGTTTTGTTTTTATATGTGACTTCTGTAAACACAGCTGTGTGGTGTATCCTGTCCCCCCCATCCGTCCATCCCGCATCTAGGTGTACTGAAATATTGTATTATCACTCTCCACTTTTCCATCCATGTTTGTTTATATTTAACTACATTTATATCTGGCTTTCCCCACAAGGAACTCAAGGCACTGACCCCAGCCCATTTTATCCTCACCACAACCCTGTGCTGCAGGTAAGGCTAAGAGATAGTGAAGGCAGCCCTGTTTAGGGAAGCTTTTAATACCTGAAGGACTATTGTATTTTAATATTTTGTTGGAAGCCACCCAGAGTGGCTGGGGTATAAATAATAAATTATTATTATTAATTATGATGATGACGATGAGTGGTCCTAGGTCACACTGTGAGCTTCACAGCAATAACTTTAGAAGAAGACACTCAGTGGGGGTGGGGAGGTGAAATGAGGAGGGAGCAAAGGAAACAAAAAAAGCAAGACTGACTGCATGAATAGGAGCTGATCCATTGCAAGAAAACACAGGGTAGTCAAAGTTGCTGCAAGGTGAGTCTCAGCTTATTGTCACAGCATCTCCATGCCAGGAGAGGTGGCACCTGTTGCAGTTCTACCTGTCATGCAGGAGATAAATGCATAGGAGTTCTGCTGACAGAGCTGACAACCCAAAGCAGCTACAACAATGAAATCTGCTGGTGAATAAATGACATAAGCATCTATGGGCCTGCCTTTCTCCAGCCTTACTTTGATGAATTCGCCTGACTGTACTGTCTACTGTAGCTACATTATGTGCTGCAGCATAACTGGAAAATCTTAATAATAAAATGAAGCCTGCTAGACTTTGTTGGGGAAATAAGTATGTAACTGCATTTACAATGGAGTGGGGGGAAAATCTAGTTTAGTTTCTCTAGCATATAATAACTCCTCCCCAAATCCCTTTAAGACTGTCTCTTAATTGCCTTGCAGGGAATCCCAAATGGGCTATAGCAGCAGGATCAAATGCAGACACTCTTAAGTAGGGAATGATCAGCAAATGAGGCAATGAATATTTATATAGATGTGTACTGAAGCACACTGGAAGACAATTCAAGTTATCTGAGCAAAACAAAGAGAGCAGATATGTAAACATAAACTGCAGTCTAAAGTGTGAGACCCAGAAACAACAAAACCAACGTTTGTTTACACATGATAGTATCCTTAAGCCCCTCACACTGTATTTGTGCAAAAGTGTGAATGTTCTGCAAATTAGGTATTTTAAAAATAGGGATTTTCAAATGCAAGTCAAGCTGAACCCTGGCAATGGATTCAGGGTTTCACCCAACCAGAATCCCAGTAAAAACGAAGTAGGACTCACTAGTAGATTTCAGCAGCATGTGTGAGGTCAATGGAATCCATCTTTCTCATTGCGTAACACCTCTACATATGCCCAGTGAGGCCACTCTAGGCTGTGTTTAAGGATGTGCCAGACACAACATCAGGAAAAGCAATGCATAAAGAGGATCAGAGAACGATGTACTAGTCAAGAAACAAATCCCAATCATGCCTCTAGCCAACTGTCTCTTCAGCGGGGGAAACAACAGGTAATGAAATCAGTCATATCGGCCTCAGCAAATCGTCACATGGTCTCATCACACGTGTCTATTTGACTATATGTGTTAGTATACACTATACATACATATGACCGACAGTCTATGCAACAAAGTGAAGGCATATCAAAAAGGATATTAAATATACACCTAATGTTCTCCCAGAGATGCAAAATAATGATGGAGTGCTTGTTCTGAGTGCTAATACTCTTGTTTAAAGTCTGCTTAAAACATCTTGCTCTTTGGTGTGGAGATTGTAGTATTTACATACATATTTTATCATGTCTTTGATGAGACTGTGTGACAATTTGATGAGTCCAGCGTGTGACTGGTTTTATATTTCTTCAAAGTGAAGAAACCGTAGCTCCTGGTAAAGAGCCAACGAGCTATTACACACATTGGAAACCATTTCTTGCCACATAAACTCATTTGTGTACTCTTCCACATATTATTTTCGCTCCCTGGTGGTTTAAGAATGGGTTCTCCAGAATCCACTGCATTATGGATCAGATACAGTTATTGTAGCAGATTTGGATGCAGGAAAATAACTTCCTGGGGTGAAGTTCAGTTGTTCTGCCCAATTTTATGCATGCTAATCAAGGCAGGTTTTACATTTGCATTGTACATGTGGGGAAAGCAAAAACATTTAAAGCAGGGGTGAGGAATTTTGCACACACACATATGGCAGTTGCTAAACGAAAGGAAAGTCAATTGGAAGGACATAGTTGACAGTATGCAGAACCAGGGTCAATATTGGCTGGAGTCAGAGCCCAAAGTGGTCAGAGCTACATCATCTCCCTCCCTCTCTTTTGGCCCCCCTCTCTGATGCGTTCTGCCACTCCATTCTTTCCCTTTTTTCCTGCCGCCCCTCTTCTCCTTATTTCGTGGTTTCTAGAACACACACGTTCTTCCGCCATCCTCTTACAGCTCAGAGCTGCCTCTGACTCTGCTGGGCCTTCAGACATATGAATTATAGTGGAGATTGCTGGATAGCTGGGTAGCTAGACACATATACCGTACATGCACATACACAAATCTTGGTCGGAGGTGGTGCAGTTGTAAAGAGCAAAGTCAGAGAAAAATGAAATATACAAAACCACATGCATATATAACTGCAAAAAATTAGTTTGTATATATAAGGTAGACTGTAGTCCACAAAGGCTTATGCCAGAATAAATTTCTTAGTCTTTATGGTGCCACAGGACTCTCTGTTCTTTTTGCTGCAACAGCATGGCTACCATTCTGGACATAATTAATAACAGTAATTCACAAAACTGTTGTTGTTGTTGATTATGACAACAACAACAACAAAGCCATTCTGGCATTGGAAAGTTAATTAACACACAGTGTGTTAAAAATCTGTTGTTCTGATTCAGTCCACAAGTGATACCATTGAACTTTTTAATGAATTGTAGTGGTTTCAGGTTGCTGTCCCCTTTTGAAGTTCCTTTGTTTCAATACTGCAGGGGTAGTCAACCTTTTTATACCTACCGCCCACTAATGCATCTTTCTTGATGGTAAAATTTCTTACCGCACACCAGTGCTCAATGGAAGGAGGATTCAGCTTGTGCCGTAGATCCCCCTACCACCCACCTAGAATCCTGAAACGCCCACTAGCGGGCGGTAGGGACTAGGTTGACAACCCCTGTAATACTGAATGTGGCCACCTTAAGGTTAGTTACAGTGTATCCTGGGAGGTTAAAATCTTCCAACATTAGTTTTTCAATTGTATTGCCATTTCCGATGTCATATCTGTGTCTATTTATTCTTTTGTGTAGAGATTGGCCTCTTTGCCTTATGTAGGAGTTGAGTATTGTTGGCAAATGATGTTATTACATTGCAAAGTGAACAAGGCAATGGACACCTGATGTTGTGGGTTCCATTCATTCTACATTCCAACATACTGATTTCATTCAAACATATTACGTTTTCAGACAGGTAGCCATGTTACCATCTGTTGCAGCAAAATCAACAGGGTCTTGTGGCATGTTGATTTTTAAAGTGATAACGATAAGGCTTTCCTTGGATAAAACTATCAATAAACCTTACTTTAATCTTAAAACATAATCAATTTTCCTCCATTGCTATGGGATTGTCCAATGGAGGAGGTATAGTTGCATTTGCTGGGTTGAGAAGGAGGGCTGTTTAGGAAGTTGCCTTATCCGGAGGTCAGGCCCTTGGTCCTTCTAGCCCACTATTATGTCCACTGACTGGGAGCAGCTCTATCCGGGGTTTCAGATTGGTGGCATTCCCACCTACCTGGAGATTAAACGTAGAGCCTTCTGTATGCAAGGCAGATGCATTACCCCTGAGCTATGGAGTTTCCCCATCCTTTCACAGCCATTGCAGTTAGCAATGCAAATAGCAGTTTCACAGTCATCTGCTAGTAAACACCAACCTGGAAAATGTCTCCCAGACTTAGCAATATGTGACAATTGACATGTGTGAATGAACACACCTGATCCCCATGCAAAACTAATACTGTTTAGTGGAGACTGTTCACACATTCGGCTCAGGGTCAACAAGTGCTGCAGTTGCATCTGTGAACTGTTCCAGTGATGGAGGAAAAGAGTGGGAGCACTCAATGGGGGCAACATGACCCAGGCGGATTCCTGATTCCTGCCCAGTCTGCTCAGGAGAATGTGAGGGTGTCGAGAAGGCCAGTGTCACAAAGGGACCTGCAGCTTCCAGGAAGGAGTGTGGTGGAGGTGCCCTGTTCTTGCTAGCGACCTTCCTTCCTTCCCCTTCCTTTCCTCCAGGCTCCAGGGCTGTATTTAGGGCCTCCAGGTGCCGCTCTGTCCGCATTTGTTTGCAGTCAATATTCATGTGCTTCTATCATCTGGGTGGCTCTTTTCACAATGATCAGCCGGGCAGAAGGCTGAGTGACAGGAGACTCGTGGCTCCACTGCTTTTGGAAAGGAAAAGGAAGGAATAGAATGGAAGTTGCCTGCAGCTTGCATAGGGGGAATTCTTCATTACTCTTCAGAGGTGGGACAGGGAATTATTTGACAGTCCAGGATTGTACATTCTTGAAGGAAAGGATGGTATAGATTGGCTACACAGAATAGGCATGTGCAATTATTTATGCATGCTTTTTTAAAAAAAACAACAACTGAAACCAAATATGTGTCATGCTAACCAGACGAGATAAACTCACAAATGTTAGCCCTAATGTTTCCCAGTTCACAAAGGTTAGCCCTTTACTCCAAATGATAAATTGAAATATCTCCATTTGCCAAAGAGCACATAATAAGCGGCAAAGACACAACTAAAGCTTTATTAATCTGTAGCAAGAAGAAAGCAAAACCAAACAACTGTACAGTGCAGTCCTAAGACTATCTGCACAGAAGTAAATCCCACTGAATAAATCCCAACTTGCCCCAGGTAAGTATGCATATAGTTGTAGACTTAGTTTAATCTGACACACACTAGGTAAGACCTGATGTATTCAGTATGGCTGATGGCCTAATAAGTATGCCTAGGGTTGCACTCCAAAGCTGGCACCTAAACACACTTGGATATATTCAAGTTAGTGTGGCTCATTTCCAACTAAACTTGCATAGGATTGTGCTGCGTGCACAGACTCCAGTCCTACATGCATGTAAAAAATAATAATTGTTTGGTTCATTTCATTGGGCCTTACTTCCACGTAAACATGCACAGGTTCAGACTTGATGCTAGCTCATGGCCAAATGCACAAAATGCATCGATAATCCTATTAGCAGAGAACTGCACCTGGCCTGTTAGAGCTGCTTGTTATTGACTCTGCAGTGGTGATCCTGTGACATGGCTTGATGGATCAACATTCCTGTACTGTGAAAGAGTGACCTGGGTGGCACTGTGGTCTAAACCACTGAGCCACTTGGGCTTGCTGATCCGAAGCATACCTGTGCAAGTAGATAAATAGGTACCGCTGCGGCGGGAAGCTAAACAGCATTTCCGTGCGCTCTGGTTTCCGTCACAGTGTTCCATTGCACCTGAAGCGGTTTAGTCATGCTGGCCACATGACCCGGAAAGCTGTCTGTGGACAAACACCAGCTCCCTTGGCCTGAAAGCGAGATGAGCGCCGCATCCCATAGTCCAGCCTTTGACTGGACTTAACCATCCAAGGGTCCTTTACCTTTTACCTCTTAGTGTTAAAGTCTAGAGGAGGTATCTGAGGAGGGGGAGTGAGGCCAGCCTGCTGCCCTTGCCTCTAACATAGCAAAACTCCCCACTCCCATGCATTGGGTGTGAATGTCTGCATAGTGAATGCTGATTTATGCATGTTCTGGAACCTTGCAAAATCAGGGTTCCAGAACCTTGTGCTCTCTGCATGCAGGTTTCTCATCAAATGTCCATGTTCAACATATAGGTGTCAAGGATGGGCTCAGACAGCTGTGTGATTTTGGACATAGAGGAACGGTCCCATTGCTTCTTCTGTGCATGACGATCCTTCATACGAGGATGACACACGAAGGAGTCAAAAGCAGTTTGGCACATGTACAGACAACTTGCACACACATTCAGAGCAAAGCACGTACAAGCCTAGAATTTATCCTTTTTAAAAGAAATAAAGTTTAATGTGAAAGGAAAGAAGGTGACATTGAAGAAACCACAAGAAATAAAGAAAGCTATAGTGCGGATTTCTATACTATGCCACACAACAGTTCGTTTATATCACATTCATTTTGATAAGGTACACATTCTGATGAACAGACGGGGTGGTAAAGCTATCATAGCCCTGATCACTTAATATATTTAACATACGCTTTCCAAATTAATAATCTCATTTTACAGAGAAACTGAAGTACAAACATAAACTGTCACAGTGTTGTGAGTGGCATGTCAGTCCGGAGCTTAATTTTGGTTTTCCAACTCTTGAGCCACCCCCTGTTGAGCAGCTTGATTTGCCTCAATTGGTAGGTGACAATGTTTATCTTCTTCCCCTGGAAAGCTTCGCCTGCTGATTTCTACTCATCGGCTGCAATCAAAGACATGGCTCCCCGCCCCTAAAGTTGCTAAGTTACCAACTTGAGTTTAAGGGCAAGCAATAGTACAAGTTAAATGTGACTATGTGTTGCTCACACCACATTTTTATCCAGAGTGAGAAGAAACACCTCTCTCTCTCTCTCTCTCTCTCTGTCTCTCTCTCTCTCTCTCTCCCCCCCCCCCCGCATTTTACCATGCAGATGAGCTCAGTGTCTTCAGCGCAAAGCTTTTCCAGAGAGTCACTGTTCTGGTCTTTGCAATCAATTGATACATGATAATTAGATTCCTCGAGAAAAGCCAAACAAAGGCTGCCATTCACCCCCTGCTTCTCCCACATGAATCCCAGTGAGAGAGATCTGGGACATTCAGCAGAAACCAGACAGCCAACATTCTCCAGCACTAAAAACACAATTTGGCTTGGGGTGTTCATTTAACAAACAGATCCTTGAACCTTGCTTCTGTTTTCAGCTTATTTAAACCATGTTTCTTTGTACTCAGTTCATTAAAACATGTCTTTTCCTACGATCTGTTTTTACGTTTCAAGAATCCAGTATTGTATTTTTGCGGTGGCAGATGGCCCTAAACATCCCATGGTAAGTGAGTTGGCAAGATTCAAGTACACACACACACACACACACACACACACACACACACACACTTCAAGAACACTTTTTGTAACCAATCACTCCTCGCCTTCGACCAGGCCAAAGGAGATGGTGAGGGAATTTTTATTTGCTGCGACTCAAACCCACAAATCCATGGAAGTTCACTGTGAGGAGAACCCATTATGAAAATTGCACAAATTATGCTAATTTGATTCAGACTACACAGTTTCATCATGGACAGCAATAGCTGATTGGCAATAGGAAGTAACAACAAACAATTGCCATGTGTGGAGGGAGACAAAGAGAAGGCCATCTACCCTCTTCACTGTACTTTGCCTCTTCCATGACTCCAATATAGTGGCTCTCAGGACAGCTACAGCAGCCCCAAGAAGCTCTCAGTTCAAGGTGAGCAGGCTTGATGGATCTCCCTGGGCACATTTCTGTAAAGCAGAGGGAGCTGCCATCTCAGTCAATGCATCCTCCTGTTGGAAAGTGACAGCAGCAGCAGCAGCAGCAGCAGCAGCAGTTTCTATCCCTGGAGCTGAGCCTGGAGAGATCTCCACCTGCAGCCCTTCTGCTTGAGCTGGGTGCTTTCCAGTGCTGGTGCTGAAAGCATGAAGCGGCAGGAGCCAACAAGGTTTTTTCAGTGTGCCAAAGCATGTGGGGCAGGTCTGTTCAGCTACAAGGTCTGGCACTTGCAATTCCCTTGAGAGTCCTCACTGGTTGATCTCAGGTGTGTGGATGCAATGCATCAAGCAGGTCACCACTTCCATTCCTCTTCCTCTTGTTGTACATTCAGTCAAGTGCTGCACAATAGCTTTGATGCTGGCATGCCATATCAGGCATGCTACAGCCTAGGTGAATAGCTCTATGTTGCTAGAAATGATGAGCTGGGCTGGGCTGGGATAGTTAGCACTGGCAGTTTCACATTTGTTATTAAAAACCAAGTATGTTGTGAAAAGAACCACCACATCAGCCACAGCCAAACAGGTACTCACCATGGAGTCTTAGAACTGAGTCATGAGAAAACAATTTAACATCGACTGCAATATATTGTACAGACCTTTCTTGGATCTGTCCTTCACAAGGGGTGACTTGCTTCTGACGCAGGAAATGATGTTCGTATAATATGAAGCAAAAGTCCTGCTAGCTAGTTGTACAGGAGTCAAATCTTTACGCTGGTGTAGAGCTCTGTTGATTCTGAAGAGGCTTTTCATAGATAATCTTGCAGCAGTAAGGCTTGCACAGGCAAGGCTAACAAAGGCAAAAGACAAAGAAAATAAAAGACAATACACACGAGTGTGTGTATTTAAGTGCTTGCAGATTTCAGGAGAGAAAAGTGAGAAATCTACTTTAGTATTCTTTGCCCTTCCTAAAGAAGCTATGTTTTCAGTTCAGTGAACAAAACTGCACACTGAAACACCAAGACATTCGCTTTAAGTTTTTGTCTAATGGGAAAAGATCAAATTTCTGTGAATACATTTTCTACTGAAAACAAGAAAAAAACAACAACCTGAAGAAAGAGGTGAGATTAAGGGTTTCTAGGCCACGGAGGTCAAATGAGACACGTACAAAATTTGTTGAACATTTTCTTCTCAACAATCACAGGCAAGTTGTCACAAAGTTTTTTTTATGATACCCACAAAAGCACACTGTTGTATGTGCTCCCTCTACTGGCTCAGTTTCAGCACTGATGCTCAATGATATATAATGCTTTCTGTGCTTTAAGGATGTCATATGAAATGTGAAATGTAATGTCTCCTGCGCTATTTTGTGTAATGCAGAATGGACTTACGGGATTCAGTATCACAAGATGTGGTGGTAGCCATTGCCTTAGATGGCTTTAAAAAGGGGCTAGTAAAATTCACGGAGGAGAGGTCTCTCCCATGATGAATATCAAATGCAGGAAACAAAGAATAGAGGAGAGCCGTTACCTCTGGGAACAAAATGACCAGCTTTCTGAATTTCCCTGAAGTATTTGGATGGTCACTTGTGGAAACAGAATGCTGGACTTGATGGGCCCTCAGGACTCATGATGTAAATGTGAGTCCAGGTATGAAATATAACTCCTTTTGACCGGGGAAAAAGATTTTACGGGCAGTTATCATACTGCCTACCACCAAAACTTGCTCTTGTTGCCTGCTTCTTTAGTTTCAAGGGGCAGAAGAGACACCCCTGACTTTGACAACTGGCAACATTTAGGTTTGTTTCCTCCTGGTTCCTGTAGTT